GGGGATGGAGGGTGCTTCTCTGGAGAGAGTTCACTTAAACTTTACGTTGAATGAGAAGGATGCAGCCTCAAGGAGTAGGAGGAGAACATTCCGAAAGAGACGGGACAGCAGGTACAAAGGCCCTGTGGTGGGCAAACAGCCCAGTGTCTTCAAGGAACATAAAGAAAACAGTAGGACTGGCATGGAGTGCACCCAGGAGAGGCAAAACGATGTGGTCAGAGCACCAGGTAGCACAGGGCCTGTCAGACTGGCAAGCATCTTGGAAGTTTGCGTTTTAATCTAAGAGCAATGGAAAGTCAGGAACAAGTTTTAAGCAGGGTGGGGAGCAGGTTGGATTTGGCTTTTAGCAACATCGCTCTGTTAGCTGAGCAAAGGTTGGGCTGTGGAAAGGCCTGTCTGGAAGCAGGGAGAGGAGAGAGGTTTCTGCCGGATCCGGGTGAGAGCGCACAAGGTGGGGCTTGAGGAGACTCCAGCACGAGGACGTGTCCTAAAGGAGAGCCTGCAGGATTTGCAGATGGTAGAAAGGCAGAGGTCAAAAATGCCACCAAGTTTCTTGGCCTGGGCGCTGCAAGGACAGAGCTGTCTTCAAGGAAGACAGGCAGGCTGTGGGAGAGTGGGTGGACCCTCTTGAAAGTTCCTCCTGGTTGTGCAGTGAAAACACTTTCAAGACAGGAAAGCCACATCCTCAACCGAACATGGGGTATCAGCTGAGCCACAGAGGTTCCCCAGGAGCCCTGGGCCTGGCACTGAGGGGCAGACAAGCCAAGCACCTGGCAGGCAGCTTTCTCTACAAAGCACCACAAACCCTTACAGCACTCACAGCACAGCGAGGGACAAGCCCCTCACAGGCCAGGCTGACGTGGCACAGAGAGCCAATGTCGCCCACCAGTGTCCCTGGCCCGGCCTCTCCTAGGAAGCTGGGCACCTGCCCTCCACCTGCTGGCTGGCATCCCCTCTCCCACCTGCCCCTTCCTGCCCTCCCTCCACTCCACCCCAGTCTTAGTGCTCAAACCCCACCACTGTGGTGACAGCCAGAAAACCCTCATTACCTGCAAGTTAAGTTGGCCACTCAGTCTCCACACCACAGGGAGACACCTGAGGCCCAGCAGATGGTCGGTCCTCTCCAGGATCAGCCTCAAAGGTCACCATCTGTCCCTGCCCACCCGGTCCAGCCTCTTCCACATCAACGGAGTCTCTCATGCTGACTTAAGGCCCAGCTACAAGCTGTGCAATGACATTTCCTGCAGGCTGACTGTGTGCCAGGCACCAGGCTAGGCCTTTTCTGGACATTAACCCTTAATTTCCACATCAGGCCTAGGAGACCACTATCATCCCCATTTTACAAAGGAGGAAACCGACGCACAAACAGGCTAAACAATTTGCCAAGGTGGCGAAAGCTGTCTGGCTCCAGTCTCCAGATTCTTAACCACCCTGCTCGGCCATATTCCCATCTTCAAGCCTCAGTTTTTGTTGTTGTTGTTGTTTTTCTTCACTGCAAAATTAATGAGGGACTCAATGCAATGATTTCTGGATCCTTCTGAGCTCTTACAGGTCAAGGATTGGAAAACTGTTTCCTTCCAGGGCACTCACTATGTTCTTTTTCCCCCCAACAATAACTGCTCTCAGGAAAAGATCTTACTGGCTCTTTCATACTATGGTGTAAGTGACTGGTATGGTGAGTAGATATGGTGGATACGGTGAGGTAACTCTGGTGGCACAGCGATTCAAACCCAGATCTGACTGGCTTCAGAACCTGGGCTGTCCCCACGACATAGCATTGTAGAGGCCACATTCTCTGCGTTAGGCTCTCCTCTGAAAAGTATTCTTTACCCCCATCAATATTCCCTTAACTAGGACAATGGAGCCAAAATGAAGATGAAGGAGTGGGTGGGAACAGGGGAGTAAAGGATATAAGCTGTCAGACCCACAACTTCCCAAAGTCAGGGCTTCTGATCCCTAATGAAGGCCTGGGTTTGAGGCCCACTTCCAACCCAGTTGCTTTGGACAGGCAGTCTGGAAGAGTCAGTTCTGGGAGCTGGGACCTGACTCCCAGCCCTGGCCCGTCCCTTAATCAGGGCTCAGTTTCCACAACTGTACGACAGGAAGTCGGCCCCTCCCAGCTCTGGCAGGTGTGAGTTTTGCTCATACCCTGGCCTTGACGGAACGCCATCAGCATTCTCCAGGCAGGAAATTACCCCACGTGCCCCCAAACCCAGAGCTCCTCTCTAAGCTTTGCACAGGAAATCCACCTCACGGAGGAAAGAGAGCTGTAATCACAGCCTCTGGGGGAAGTTCCCAGCAGACCCCTCTAATAGCCTTGGCAGGGAGCAGGGCTGGGGAGCAGCGATGCCCTTTGAAACAGACACCTGACACCGCAGCTCCCCTGGCCCCCAAGATGCCCCTCCCTCATCCTTCCCTGCCTGAAGCTCTGCACCTGACCGCCCTCCTCAAAGTTCAATCTTTTTGTCTCTGTAAATGGCTTTTCAGTTTCTGGCCCAGCCTCTCATTTCTACCAGTTTAATTATTGAGGAGCCCTCTTGTCGCCAGCCTGGAACATTAACGCTCTTAAAAGGGACCCAGGGACTTCAGACCATAGCCAGCTGTCTCCTTCTGGCTCTCTCCCCATCTCCCCCACCGCCCGTCCCCTTTCCTTTCCCAACAGGCCCCTTCCGTCCCCCTTCCTTCTCCCCTCCCTAGGCCTCTACCTCCCAGTCCCATCTTGCTCTCTGTGTAGCACAAAACCCAGGCCACGCCACATTCATATGTGACCAGATGGGCAGCGGAAGAGCCCTCGGCTGGTGAGGCCCTTTGGCCCCAGACCCCCTCACCCCACCAGCGACCTTCCCCATCCTGGGAGAGGTCAGCACAGCAGTCAAAGCCCACTGCTGTGTGGGGCTTCCAAGAACCCGCTTCAAGGCCTAATGCTGACAGCGACCTTTCTTAGAGCCTTGGCCATGTGTCTGGTGACACCTCTCAGCTCCTTTGATCTTTTCCACCTCCCTATAAAGTGCGTACTGGTTCCGCTCTGGGACATGGTGGGGAAGGACCCTTACCAATGTCATCGCCCCAAGGGCCCAATCATGTTGTTTTATCATCTTTATAAAACACTTTTTAAAACACCCAGACTCACCAAGGTGTTTAATACAAAGCTCAGACAAGGACACTGCAGCAGCCCCACCTGTAGTCTGGTCTTCTCAAAGGCTGGGGGACTGTGCCCCACTCAGATAGGATGACAGCTGCTGAGGCAGGTCGCCTCACCTCCCAAGCCCCAGGGAAGGCAGGCTGAATTGATGACACAGCTCACCGAAGCCATCACTAGGCCCTGGGACCACAGAGCCTTGCTCCCCCTCCCCTCTGGGTCTCTACTCCTCACTGCAGAATTGGGCAGGTGGAGGGACTGGACCAGTTTCCCATTCCCCAACCATCCCACCAACGAATGTCCACAAGCAACACTGCTCCCCAAGGGTTGTTCAAATTGCCCGCTACAAAGGCAGAGTCTCCAGCTTCAGCGTGATTTTGCATCCTTCAGAATGCATTCATTTGTTTTTAAATTAAAATAATGTTTTCATCTGGATCATCAAGCAAAACCAACACTACAAGAAGAAGTCCCCAAGGCAAGGATGCACAGCACACGTGGCCCAGACCAGCCTATGGCAAAGTTCCAACCCCGCCCCTGCTGTGACAGGACAACTCCAACCACCTTTCTTTCCCACCTACCCCCGCCGCCAACACAGAGACGTTCGCACCGTTCATCCACACTTCTACCCCGGCCCCCAGAAATGCCCCCCAAGTACTGATGCATCATGGGATTGGCCAAACATGTTCCAGAAAGGGCCCAGGAGAGACGGCTCCAGCCTCAGCGCTTCCCATCCTGCATGAGGCCAAACAGCCTCTCTCTGTCCACTCCCTAACTCTGGAGCCTTTGAGGAGACAAGGGGCCAATTCCAGAGGCCAAGAATCTAACACCAGAGTTAAGAAGGGACCCAGAGGCTCCATTTGTGCCACCCTTCCTCCTCCCTCACTCTCTTCTCTCTCCCTCTCTCTCTGTCTCTCTCTGTCTCTCTCTGTCTCTCTCTCTCCACACACACACACACACACACACACACACACGCACGCACGCACGCACACACAGCAAACGAGGAGGCTCCCAGAGAGAAGCAGGCACATAATTATTGGTAAAATGCTTGTAATGTTTTTCTCTCTACCCAGTAGCTTTCAGTAGTTTTAGCAGCTTAGCGAAGCACTTGGCTCCAATTGAATTGCAAATCAGCAGCTCCTGCCCCAGGAAGAGAGGAAGGGAGGCGGCAAAGAGGGGGCAGGGAGGGATTCCAGAAGGAAAGGGAGAAAGGTGTGCAAGGAAGGGGGGCAGAAGGAAGGTAATGAGCCAGGGAAGCTCAGTTCAGGGCCAAGGGCACCAGAAACAGGGACTGCCGCTCCTCCAGGCCTTTTCCCGCCCTCATCTCCGTTCGCTGCGGGCTCGGTAGCCAACACCTCATCCAAAAAATCAGGACACATCTTCTAACTATAATCCTGAGGTGGAGCGAGAGGGCCACGCGGGGCTTTCTCAGCCACCCAGGAGAAAAACAGATCTTTCTTGGCAATTGCAATTATTGAAAAACAATGTCAAAACAAAAGTCTTGCTTTTTCTCCCTGGCAATCTCCAACATTCACATTCCCATTCTATGTTTATCTTTTAACCTGTCTACCTTTCTATCTACCTAAATTTCTATTCGTCCATCTGTCTGTCTGCCCATCTCCTCCTCCCTTCTGTTGTTCGCCAGTACTTTCCCCTCCCGGTTCAGAATTCCCCGCAGAGGAGCGGAGTCGATCAAGGAGCTGCCTGCAGCAGGTGCTGTTTCAGCACCACGGTCAGCACCACGGAGCTGGGTCCCTCCTCACCACAGGCCAGCCCCAAATTCTCAGATATTGCTCGGGGAGCTGGGAAACACACTCTCTCCCTCGGATTCAGGAGAAGAGAAAGGAGCCGGGCAGGCACTAACCTTGAAGAGACGAAGGATGTTGGCCACCATGATGGAGACCGAACTCCCCGAAGCACCGATGACACCCACCACGCGCTCAGGTTTAGTGACGATGGGCGGGCCGCCGCTGCCACAGCGGACCTCCGTGCCATCCTTCTCAATGAGCGCCTGCACAAAGGTCAGCGACTGCTCCAGGGCATGGGTGTCCCTGGAGCAGGTGTCCAGTATGCGGGCGCCCAATGTGATGTTGGGCAGCAGGTCTGGGTCATTGTTAATGCGATCTAGAGCAAAGAGCATGGCCTCCAGCCGGTGGATGCCCTTTTCCTTCTTGAGTTCTCCGCAGGCCTTGCCCTCTGAGCCCCGGCCGTGCACCGGGAACAGGCCTCCCAGAGTGATGTCACCATCTATGCGGATGGAATTCATTTGAGGGTGGCCTTTGGGCTTCCCCAGGGAGGAAGGCACCCAGGGCCCAGACAGGCTGAGGAGCAGGCAGAGGAGCAGCCGGGCCCACCACCAGCCCCAGCCCCTCTTCCCAGGCATCTCGGAAATCCCTAGAGACCCATGAATGGCAGGCCTCCCTCCTAGCCGTGTGGGCCCCTGGCCCACAGCCTGGGGGAGCAGGGGCAGAGCAGCCCCCACAAGTCTCTCCAGTGCAGCTTCAGCAGCAGGGCGGCTGATGGCAGCCAACAGGCTGAACCATGCTGGTGTTCCTCGCCCCGCAGGCAACGCTCAGTTACGGGCACAGGCCATGCTCCCAGACGGCAGGGAGTGCCTGGGGTGCAGCAAAGCTCTGGGCTTGGTCCCCACGTCCTGCAGGCCTGTTCTTGGTGGATGACTGTGGAAGGAGCAGAGTGCTCCTAGCTTGGCAGATCTTGGCATCAAGGGGAAAACAGCTCCAATGCTCTCCTCTTACCAACCTTAAAGAGAGAGAGAGAGAGAGAGAGAGAATCAAAGAGAAGCCCAAAGAAGACATTAGCAATTCGGATCTCTCATCAGGAGCCTGAGAGCAGGAGATGCTGGAGGTTATAGCCAAAGACTCCACAAATCTCCTGAGCTTGGTTTCCTCCCAGCTGCTGCTCAACTTTGGTCCAAATGGGAGAATTTGAGGCAGAAATTGGGTGGTGTTTGAAGGCCTGTGCCCACTACCATCAGACCCGAGGCCTCAGAGAGCTCTCTCCCCAGGCAACAGCCTGGGAGGCTTGGGCAGAAGAGAGGCCCCTCTCAACACTCACCCACAGGAAGGAGCAGGCAGAAACCGGTCCCACAGGGCACAGCTCATTTCAGAGATGAGGAAACCAAGGCCCAGAGCAGGAGAGCACCTGAGCCGAGTCACAAAGGGAGCAAGCAGCAGAACGCTGCCTGGAACCCAGCTTTCTGGCTCCCAGCTCTGGAACCAGACACACTTGGTCTCCTTGATGACTCAGAGACAAGGAAAGCCAACAAGGCCCCAGGAGAAGTCTGGCTGAGAGCTGCTCAGCCTGAAGGCCAGGGAGAAGCTGGGGCTGCCGGGGTTTGGGGTTCTCCTGCTG